ACATTTGTGTAATGTTATTAAGGCCATGGGTCACTAGCTCCCAAACTCCGGGTCGCTCTGTCTTTTTTGAAAAATTATTCCAGTGGAATAAGGAGGGAACAACTTTCAGCTGAGGACAACGTTTCCCAGAGGAAGACACGACACTCTCCAGTCTCAAAATGCTGACTACACACTCTAGAGCTGGTCGTAACTGTGAAGCTGTCCCCATTGATTTTTATCAGTCATTGTGCGCGCAATTCAGGATCTTTGGGAAAGGAGTGGAAACGTAGCATCTTGTTGAATCTTCCCCCAGCAGTACACTGGGGGAAGATTGTGGGTGGCTGTAGCTCAGGTGGCAGAGCAGGTCAGCCACTAATCAGAAGGTCGGTGGTTCGATCCCAGGCTGCCTCTGGGCTGCATGTCAAATATCCTTGGGCAAGATACTAACCCCATGTTTGCCTACTGGTGGTGGTCAGAGGGCCCGGTGGCACCTGTGTCCGGCAGCCTCGCCTCTGTCAGTGCGCCCCAGGGCAGCTGGGGCTACAACGTAGCTTGCCATCGCCAATGTGTGTGTGAATGGGTGAATGACTGAATGTAGTGTAAAGCGCTTTGGGGTCCTATGGACCAGAAAAGCGCTGTACAAATGCAGGCCATTTACCATTTACACAGCAATGGTGAGCGTTCCCACCTTCTGCTATTTGTAATTTAAAGCGATCTTTCCGTTTCGGTATTTTGGAAATGCTCTTGGAGTCCATCTTCGCAGTAGCGATTGACCGCAAAATAAAGGTACCGGAAATGTACAACATACCCAATGCTAACTTCCCTTAAAACAGGAAGTTAGCATTTTCTCGTGCACAGGGTCTATTGGAGATACCGGGCATTTGCCCGGTGGGCTGATGGTGATTTTGCATTTCGTCATTTCGAGCTGATTTGAGACCAAAACAGCCAATCAGATTTTTTTGCATCCAAGTCTGTGATTGGCTGGTTTTGCGGCACAAATATAACGGTGTACAGAAAGAGTTGAACGCGCACGGGCAACACATTGCAAGCAAGCGCAAGTGCAAAAACTGAGCGGGAAGGGCTGCTATTGTGTTTGTGTGTATGGATAATAGCAAACACTGAAATACATTTTTTGCACGCAGCAATGAATTTTGTTCACTCAAATTTAGCTTTTCTTTGCTCAAAATAAATTTCTCCTCAAAATGCAACACTTGCACTTTCTGGCTGACGATCACTTTTTGGCACAACACCTGGAGCTAAGGGGACAAAACAATCGCATGAGTGCTGCTGTTTGACTGAGGAAGAATAAAGTTGTCGTGGTAAGCCAATCACATGACCACTTTAAGATGACAAGCAACAAGGTGATATTTATCAGTTTTTAAATTGTGTTGATAGGCCACGCAAAACCAGAGTCATGATAAACAATATATATGCGGCGTTTTTTCCTCAATAGTTTCGTCACGTTTACTGTCTAAGGACAGCGCTAGCAAGCACTCTCTGCTTATGAGCAAAAAAACAAAACAAAACAAAAAATGCCCTTTCGTGTTGGTGGAAAAATGCACCATGTCGGCCAATCAAAAATGATATGGCAACATGACATTTGGTTATTTAGGAAGAGGGGGAAGTTTTAGGAGTGACGGCGAGAGAGAGAGAAAGAAAGACAGGAGAAAAATAGAGAGCGAGTTTTGAGATGTGAGAGATTTGTGACGTTTAGAGTGTTTGGAGTGTGTAGTTAATGTGTTGTCTCGTGTAGTTAGTGTGTAATGTTGTGGATAGTTTGGTGTTGTGTGTCAGAACAATCCATAACAAATATGGGTAAATAAAATGCCCAATTATAACTTGGACCCCAGAGGGTTAAACATTTTTTAAATCAACGCAATAGTTACTTTTCAAGTAATTAATTGAAGAGTCTTGTAACTCAGTTACTAACTCAGTTACTTTTTTGAAGAAGTAACTAGTAACTATAATTAATTACTTTTTCAAAGTAACTTGCCCAACACTGCCAAAATGGCATATTTGATTATCTTTATCAACCTGATTGACACAGAAGTCTGTCTCCTATAAACTGTAAAAATGTGAGATTTCAAGATATATTTATGCACTTTGTGATTTTGCGAAACTCTAAAAACATTATTGTGACATCATAGGGGGTCGTAGTGAAAAACTAAAAAGTGTGTTGTGCAGCTGCCACCTTGCTCTTTCATATCACTCACAATATTTTTTCCAAGGTCGATTTTAAACTTGGACACTAACAATGAATGTCAAGATCAAATGCTTAGCCAATGTAGCTGCTCAAGTTTGATGACGATCCATAACAAATATGGGTAAATAAAGTTGTTTTCACATTTGGTGTGACCTTGACTCGATTTTCACCAAAAATTTAATCAGCTCCAGCTGTTTTTGGTATCTGGCACCACACATAATTTGATCTGGATATGTTGAAAACTGTAGATACTAGACAGCTGATAGACAGACAAACAAACAAACTGACACAATAACATCACTGTGTTACTCTGATGGTTGTTCACAAAGCTCCTACACTTTTCTTGAGTTAATTTCCACCATCACACCTGCTTCATATCTCGATTGGCACGCAGTGCAGAGATGGAAGGAAAATATAGCCAGGATTTGAACTGCTGAACTCTGTTTCCGGTCCCTGTGTGTGGCTGCTCACTTGCATCTTTTTCATCGGCTTCAGCATTTGCTTTAAAATACCTGTCTTTCATCAAGAAAAACTTGAAATGGCTAATTTGAAAGGAAAATAAAGAAACTGCAGAGAGACTGACTGCTTTCATGTTGAAACGTTTAAGAGGTTTCGCAATGCTTGAAGCAGCTGGGAGTTAAAATGTGAGGTGTTTCCTTATTTATACAATCCAAAAGGCATTTACAGGGACTGCTAAAGAGTGGCTACGTACACAGGAACATGGAGCATTCATTGAAACAAATGTGTACAGTCTAATAATGTTCATGTTTAACAAGAAACATTAAAAACATATTTATTAAAACATTTTTTTCGAAACTCTGAAAGAAATGGAAGCACGGTTGCTGCATTGGACCTTTACACATGCTTAACCAGGTCAGTATCACATTAGTCCTCCTTCTTCTTCTCTCTTACTTCTTTTTCCTTTTCTCTTCTTCCTTTTCTCTTTTCCTTCCTTCCTTTTTTTTTCTTTCTCTCCACCTGGTTGCTCCATTTAGAGGTGACAAAAGTGGAAAATCTGCCTCCTTGTCACTCTATCCCCATGCAGGCCCTCTTCACGTACGTCTCCAAACTGCTCATCCTAAACTGTCTCTCTGATATACTAATTTTTTCACTGCCACCATCATAGCAGGTCTCAGAACCATCTTGTAAATTTTCCCTTTCACCCTTGCAGCTTTTACTGTGTCACAAATCACCCCAGACACTCATTTCCACACACTCCACTGTGGAGTAATAGAGCTGTTTTTTATTTTTACTATCATTCATGTTTTTATAACCAGATGAGCAGCTCCCTGGAGGCTCATTAGAACAAATGCAAGATGTGAACAGCCAATCTAGATCTGCTATTTATTGCAGGCCAGGTAGGGACCTATACAAGTAATTTTATATCAACAGAAGCTTTTTAAGGAGCTTTTAACCTATACTTGCTTAATTGCTGGAAAAAGAACTATGACAAATTAGCTTTTTACATTTGACGTCACTCACAGTTGGCAGTGTATTTATTTTCTATTGAAGTAAAAAACAGCTCTTCTGTGCTGTTTTTTGCACAAATAATGTAAATAAATTTGTTTCTTTGTAATCATGAGCTAGTAAGTTATAATAAGAGTTATGAATTTAATGGTTTCACTCCAGGTCTAAGTAAGTAAGGGTTTTGCGGGCTTTTTTCTTTCCTTATGTGTTCATATTTGCAGACCTGATCTGGTTTATTACAGTAAGCTTTACTTACTGTTTGATTTGTTTAGCTTTACTTTAAATTCAGAGTGTCACAGCTTGACCTTGCCGATATTTACAATTTGCTTCTTTGTGTTCTGCCACACCCTTTTTTTCCTAGCATCTCAGCACAACCTGAAGCAGACTTGCTGTGTCTGTTTAGCATACCTTGATCTGTTTGGCAGCAGCGGTCAGGCCTGGCCAGTGTCATTGTCCTTTACCTACAGTGATCGCTAAATACTGTACTTGGTGTTTACAAAACTAAGAAAGGCCATCTTTAAAGAAAAGAAGCTGGCATTCTTGGGAATATTTTTAAAATTTGTTCATAGCCAGTACAATGCCACCCCACCCACCCAAACCTCAAAAAACAAAGCAAAACAAAAAGCCCCCACACACTGATACTCAAAAAGAACTATTAAAATTGTGCTGCCTCACTTCTCATCTACTCACTTTTAAATGTAACTGAAAGAAGCCACAGTGAGAATTACTAGTAATCTGTCAAGATTTCACAATTTAATTATTCTTTAAATGACATTCTGGTAAACAATACAGTTATCGCCATCATTCCAGTGGCATAAGACATGAGGAAAGAGTCTTTAACAGTTTGACAAGCAGAAATGGAGCAAAACTGTCACTCAGCATGCACACAGATCTTTCACCCCCTGACACACGATCAGATTTACGGTGCAAATTAAGCAGAAACACACAGCAGCATTAGTGAAGCATTAAATGTCCCTGTGTTGTCTGGGAAAGGATTTATCTTCCACAGATCACACGCAGTTATTTGGCTTGGAGTTCTTGTTCACAAGGGGACACCAGAACAAGCCTCCTGATCACAGACGTAGTCCAGCTGAGGTCATTCAAAGTGCTGCACAGATCCGACTCCTTTCCCACAGAAACAAGGAACAGTGGCTCAGAAGGCAGCAGATGCAATCTGCCGCATGATTTTCAAACACTGACCTAAGCTAGAATGAGGACTTGGCTCACATTTTTGTAGATCATTATCAGGCATATATACTACTGCAAACTATACTGAGGTTCTATTTTATACTTCACAACTTACTGTGCCAATAACAAGGTTTTATCAAAAGGTGAGAAAAGCGTCTGTAATGGGCTAAGTTTCCATCCAGCTTAAACACTCCCAAATAAATCTCCGAGACACAGGGGGTTGAAGTCCAGGAGCTTTACTGGGTACTTTTTTGTGAAACTGTAAACACGATACAATGAAATATATGAGATGTATTATAGATACAATAAGCTCAAAACATCTGGCTAATTATTACAGCCTAACAACCTAGCCGCATAGCTTATATGAGACACAATAAAGCTAACCGAATAACAGACAACGGTTCAAACGCTTCGCCGCTTAATAGTACAAAAATGAATTATACTCACAGACTATGCCTTAGCGAGGGGAAAAGGATTAAACCTGTAACAGCGGAGCTGGCGGCTGCATGAGCCCACACGCTAATATCCCGAGTCACACGGTAGATTCACTTCCTGACTCCCAGCATGCACTGCTCTCGTGCTGTCATGGTTACGAAGATACACGAGTCCTACGAAGATACACGAGTCGCTCTAAGCTGTGATAACGAGATAAAAAGAACACATGAGAACACATTTCTAAAGGCATGACACTCCCCGCTTGGGATCTTTAAAGAGCCCACATCAATCAGCAGAATCAGACTTTGGAGAAAGAAGCAGAACTACTTCTGTAATGGGACGAGAGAATCCTCTCCTCTTTCCATCCTTGACGACCTCCACTTCGACCCTCCGAACCAATCCGTCCTTTCCTGGAAAGGCTTTCGTAATGATGCCCATAGGCCACTCGTTCCTCTCTGCCTGCTTATCTTTTAGGAGAACTACGTCCCCTTCTTGAAGATTCGGTTGTTTCCCTTGCCACTTGTGCCGAAGTTGCAGTGTTTTGAGGTATTCACGCCTCCATCTGTTCCAAAACATGTCCGCTAAGCCCTGAACTTGTTTCCACTCCTCTCTGAAAAGATCTGCTTCCTCGAAATTGCCTGACGGCAAAGGAGGTGTGGAACCTGTTTTAAGAGTCAGGAGCATCGCTGGCGTGAGGATGCAGGGCGACTCCGGGTCGGATGACACTGGGATGATCGGCCTTGCGTTCATAATCGCAGCTACCTCGGCCATAAGCGTGGTCAGAACCTCATGTGTCAGGCGAGACTTTCTTTGTTCAAGCAGCATGCAGTCCAAGATACGGCGGGCGATGCCGATCATCCTCTCCCATGCGCCACCCATATGGGATGCATGGGGTGGGTTAAACACCCAGGTGCAGCTCTGTTTACTGAGGTACTTCTCTACCCTGTCGAACTCTGAGTTTTCCTTGTCCATCCCCAACTCACGGGAAGCGCCGACGAAGTTAGTTCCGCAGTCCGAGCGTATCTGCTTCGCGGGGCCCCTGACCGCAAAGAATCTCCTCAAGGCGTTAATAAAGCTGCTAGCACTCATGGCTTCGATGACCTCAATGTGTACCGCCCTGGAACTCATACACGAGAATATCACCGCCCATCGCTTGGAGTTCGAGACTCCTCCTCTTGTGCGGCGTGAAACGACGTCCCATGGTCCAAAAACATCAACGCCCACGTAAGTGAAGGGAGGTGCCACTCGTAGCCGTTCTGCTGGCAGGGCTGCCATCTGTTGATGTTCGGCCTTCCCTCTCAGTTTCCTACAAGTGATGCATCTGTGAAGCAGACTGCTGATACAGCGTTTGGCTCCCACGATCCAAAACCCTGCAGCCCGAATAGCACCCTCGGTAAGATGTCTCCCTTGGTGCTTTACTGCTTCGTGATAGTGGGACACAAGCAGAGTTGCGAGGTGATGCCGGCCAGGAATGATGATGGGATGAGTCTCGTTCATGCCTAAGTCTGACTGCTCGATCCGACCTCCTACTCTGAGTAGTCGATCCTGGTCCATAATGGGATGCAATCTCCACAAACTGCTAGAGGATGGTATGTTGGTTTCCGAGTTGATGCACTTGAGCTCTTCTGCGTAGCAGTCGCCCTGGACGCTCCTTACAATGCACACCTCGGCTCTCAGTAACTCCTCCTCTGTAGGACGACAAATGTGCCAGCCTCGACATTCGCTCTGCGTCGAGCGAGCGAAGGACCTAGCTATGTGTATCAGGTGTGCGATGGCTGCACGGAGTGTGCTGAACTTGGAGAAACGTTCAAAGCGTTGAGGGCGTATCACACCTTTGGTGACATGGGTGAGTTTCGCCGTCACCTGCGGCCGCACTTCGGCATCGATGTCAGGGTCGACGAGATTGTACGTCTCTTGGAGCTCGGATAGATGCCCTGATGCGTCGCAGAGAAAGGCTGGTCCTTTGAGCCATGGTGTGCTACTGAGCAGGGCTGATGCTATGGTTCTTGACCCAACATCGGCTGGGTTGAGATGCGTTGGGACGTACTTCCACTTGCCAGGATTAGGTGACTGAAGGATTCGTTGGACCCTGTTGTGTACGTAGACATAGAACCTCCTTGACCGGTTGTGGATGTATCCCAGCACGACTTTGCTATCTGTATAGTAGGTGATGCTGTCGAACGTTGTGTCCATCTCTGCAACTATCATCTCAGCGATCTCGACAGCAAGCACGGCAGCGCAGAGTTCAAGTCTGGGGATAGTTGAGCCGGGTTGAGGAGCTAACTTCGCCTTCCCAAAGACGAAGCCAATCTCAGTCTGTCCCTGTTTGCTAGTTACCTTGATGTAGGCTACGGCTGCTATTGCTTTGACCGACGCGTCGGCGAAGACACAGAGTTCTCTCCTCAGAGCGCCTATGGTGGAGAGGGACGTATAAGGGCGTGGTATCTCGAGCCCCTCCAGGTCTTGGAGAGACTGTTTCCATCTAGTCCACTCGATCTCCATGTCTCTGGGAAGGGGTGCGTCCCAATCCTCCGCTTGCAGGGTGAGCTCTCTGAGAATCCGTCTTCCGTCGACTGTGATGGGTGCAAGGAACCCTAGGGGGTCGTATAGGCTGTTCACGGTCGAGAGTACCCCTCTGCGGGTGAACGGCTTCTGGTCAATCTCGATCTGGAACGCGAAGGTGTCCGTGCGCATGTTCCAAGACAGCCCCAGGCTACGCTGAATGGGCAGATCGTCGATGAAGAGATCTAGGCCATTGAAGTCCTGAGAGCGATCTTGAGGGGGGAACGCTCTGACTGACTGCAGAGCGATTTGACGCAACCTTGTGCAGCCTGAGGTTAGAAGCCGCGAGCATCTTCTGCGCTCGTTGGAGAACTGCGATGCCTTCTTCCTCTGTGTTGAAGGACTTCAAGGCATCGTCACATAGAAGTCGCGGTCGATGAATCTCCTGGCATCGCTGCCGTAGTCGGCCTCCGCTGCCTTAGCCGCCCGCCGCAAGCAGTACACTGCGACAGCGGGCGAGGGGCTGTTACCAAAGAGATGAACCCGCATCCTGTAGTCCACAATGTCGGAGGTAGGGTCGTTGTTTTTGTACCACAGGAAACGGAGAAAATCCCGGTGGTCCTCTTTCACGATGAAACAGTGGAACATGTGCTCGATGTCAGCAGTGATTGCAACCTGTTCCTTCCTAAACCTCATGAGAACGCCTAGTAGGCTGTTATTGAGGTCGGGACCGGTGAGTAAAACGTCATTGAGCGATACTCCCTCATAGGATGCGCTGCTGTCGAAAACCACGCGGATCTTGTCCGGCTTCCGAGGGTGATACACGCCGAACAGGGGCAAGTACCAACGCTCCTGACCAGGTTGCATGGGAGGGGCAGCTTCGGCATGTGCCTTCTTGAACATCTTCTCCATAAACTCTAGGAAGTCGGCCTTCATCCGTGGTCGTTTTTCCAGTGAGCGCCGAAGTGAGACGAGGCGTTCGAGGGCCTGTTTCCTGTTGTTGGGGAGTCGCCGTCTCGGTGACCTAAACGGCAGAGGTGCGACCCAGCTGTTGGAGTTGTTCTGGCAGCACTCGGCTTCCATTATTCTCAGAAACTCTAGATCTTCCAAGGATGGAGCGAGTCTGTGGTCGTTGGGAGTGCGAGCGAAGACGGTTTGCCCCAAATGGTCTCCAGTCAGCATCGTCGACACTAGTGCTGAATGGTGTTGGTAGTCGCGTGCTTGTTCGAACGCCTCTGTCACTTTGATCTGGTTGTCACATGGCTGGAGATGACTTGTACGACCATTTCCTAGAACGGCTGTTTTGTAACTTCTCACCTCCGGTGGCCTGTGAGCACCTCCGAGGCACACGTCGCCGACGATGACCCACCCCAGGTCAAGCCTTTGGGCGAAGGGAGCGTCTCCTGGGCCACTTATCTGCTCTCGGACCTTGTGGACCCGTAAGATATCTCTGCCCAGTAGGAGAAGGATGTTAGCGTCTGGGTCCGGAGGCGGTATCTTGTCGGCGATGCATTTTAGATGAGCATGATGGTAGGCCGCACCGGGGGTGGGAATCTCCGCACGAACGTTAGGGATTTGGTTACACTCGAGGAGTGTAGGCAAAGAAATACTCGATTTCTTATCCAATGGCTCTACGGTGTAGCCGCTGGCTCTCCTCCCTGCTGTCTCCGTACGTCCCGCGCAGGTCTTTAGGGTGTATGGGTACGGGCGCCCGGAGATCTTGAAGGCTTCGAAGAACTCTGACCGCGCGAGGGAGCGATTACTCTGCTCATCCAATATAGCGTACATTCTCTTGGCTTCCTCTCTTCGTCCGTTTGGGAACACCCTGACGAGACAGATCTTAGCACATGCTCTAGCGCTCAGACCTTCTCCACATACCTGTGTGCACGTTGCCTTGACCTCCTGGTTGTCCGCTTTGTCCTCCTCCCCGCTATCCTCTGAGGTGGAGGGGAACGACTTGGGCCTCCAGGCAGGCGTGTGGGGGTGGAGAGCTGTCGCGTGGGCAGCGCTCCCACACTCGGTACATGTTATCTCGGCTGTGCAGTTCTTTGCTAGGTGTTCTGTTGACGAGCAGCAGCGAAAACAGACGTAGTGTTCTTTCAGAAGCTGTTTACGGTCGTCTAAGCTCTTCTCGCGGAAGCCTCTGCATTTCCTCAGAGGATGGGGCTTTTTGTGCAGGGGGCAATACTTATTCGGGTCGATGCGTTCCCTGCTTTCTTTGGACTCGGACTTGGTAGTGCCTGAGACCTGTGTCTTGTGGGCGTGGACGGACGTCTTTGTGGGCCTCTCCCATTTATTCCTTCCTTCGGCTGGAGGGTTTGGCATGAAGAGGCTGAAACTTGGGTCCGTACGTGCTTTCGCCTCGGTGCGGATGAAGTCCACCAACACGGGGAAAGGTGGGAAGCTGACGAAATGTTCTTGTTTGTATCTCGCCCCGTGGTATAACCATTTTTCTTGTAAACTATATGGAAGTTTCTCGATGATGGGCTTAATCCCTCTGGAGGTGTCCAAGTACGACATGCCCGCGAGGTAGCCGTCTTCCTTGGCGGCTTGTAGCTCTGACAGCAGGTCGGCTAGGTCCCGGAGTCTCCGTGGGTCCTTTGATGTGAGCTTCGGAAAGCTTTCTAGTTTGCTGAACAGAGCTTGTTCGACTGCTTCTGGTGAGCCGTATACTTCGTCGAGGCGCTCCCATGCTGAGCACAGCCCAGTAGTTGGGTTCCTGATGTTGACCGCCTTTATTCTTCTTACTTGTTCTGCTGACTCTTTTCCCAGGTGTTTGGTTAGGAGGTCGAGTTCTTCTGCGGCAGACAGGTCTAGATTGGCAGTGGCGTTCTGAAACGATGTTTTCCAGGCCCAGTAGTTTATTGGCTGGTCGTCATATGCGGTGAGACCTGAAGTCACCAAGTGGTTACGAGTGAGATATTTGATAAGGTCGGTGGTTGTAGAGTGGTCGTAATCGCCTCCGTAGAGTGTCCCGTGGACGGGCTGATGCGTGGGAAACGTAGAATCTCGTTTGGGGTTCTGCTGTAGGAGTGGAGTTGGAGGGGGGTAGAAGGGTGACTTGGAGCTCTGTCTTAACGGTGCCTCGCTTTTCCAAGGGCCCTGAAGAGCTTGGCGTGGCGTAATAGCAGCGGGAGCGGCATCTTGGGTCTGAGCCGCGTTATGCGGGTGAGTGACTGGCTGAGAAGGGGGAAGGTTGTTTTCTGTAGCCGATAGACCCTTGGCGCTCAGGCTGGCCTGTTCGGTGACAAAGGCGGCTACGCGCTGGTCTTTGACAGACTGGGAGACCGGGCTGTTAACTTCGCTGCGTACTTCGAGACCCATATCTTGTAGACCGGCTACTAGGGAGTTCGCCTCTGCAACGGCAGCATCCCTTTCCTTTTCGTCCATTAATGCGTCGAGGCTCGCTTGAATACGTGCTTGCTCCACTTTAAGCTCGATTTCCCTTTTTGAATGTGCCGCTCTAGCTTGCGCGGCTTCAGCCTTTGCTTTTGCCACGGCGATGGCTATGCTGATTTTCGAGCCAGACGATGTACCAGATGAGCGACTGCTCCTTGAGCGCACACACTCTGACTGGTTGTCTCCATTTCCTTTGTTAGCATTGCTACGTTGTGACATTGCGTGTCGCTGGGTCTCCGGTATCGGGAGAGGAAGGCTGAAGGCGAAGCTCTCCGAAGGCTGTAGTGAGAGCCGTTTATCTCTTGATAATGAGTGGCTGCGTACGGCGGCGATCCTGTATGCCCCGTTAGCTGCGTTGCAGTCTTTTCACTGTAATGGGCTAAGTTTCCATCCAGCTTAAACACTCCCAAATAAATCTCCGAGACACAGGGGGTTGAAGTCCAGGAGCTTTACTGGGTACTTTTTTGTGAAACTGTAAACACGATACAATGAAATATATGAGATGTATTATAGATACAATAAGCTCAAAACATCTGGCTAATTATTACAGCCTAACAACCTAGCCGCATAGCTTATATGAGACACAATAAAGCTAACCGAATAACAGACAACGGTTCAAACGCTTCGCCGCTTAATAGTACAAAAATGAATTATACTCACAGACTATGCCTTAGCGAGGGGAAAAGGATTAAACCTGTAACAGCGGAGCTGGCGGCTGCATGAGCCCACACGCTAATATCCCGAGTCACACGGTAGATTCACTTCCTGACTCCCAGCATGCACTGCTCTCGTGCTGTCATGGTTACGAAGATACACGAGTCACTACGAAGATACACGAGTCGCTCTAAGCTGTGATAACGAGATAAAAAGAACACATGAGAACACATTTCTAAAGGCATGACACTCCTATAAGCATAGGTGTGCATTTATTGCCATGTTGTCAATGACTCACTCATATCTTTGAAATCTTACTCAGGATCCATCCAAGATCCTCTGACTGTATGGAATCATTTATTCTGAGTTGGATGTTTTGGACTTTGGAAATGAACGAGCAAAAATTCCCCAAACCTTTGTGTAACTACAGGGTGGGCCATTTATATGGATACACCGTAATAACATGGGAATGGTTGGTGATATTAAAGTCCTGTTTGTGGCACATTAGTATATGTGAGGGGGCAAACTCCTCAAGATGGGTGGTGACCATGGTGGCCATTTAGAAGTCGGCCATCTTGGATACAACTTTTGTTTTTTCAATAGGAAGAGGGCCATGTGACACATCAAACTTATTGGTAATGTCACAAGAAAAACAATGGTGTGCTTGGTTTCAACGTAACTTTATTCTTTCATGAGTTATTTACAAGTTTCTGACCACTTATAAAATGTGTTCAATGTGCTGCCCATTGTGTTGGATTGTCAATGCAACCCTCTTCTCCCACTCTTCACACACTGATAGCAACACCGCAGGAGAAATGCCAGCACAGGCATCCAGTATCCATAGTTTCAGGTGCTGCACATCTCGTATCTTCACACCATAGACAATTGCCTTCAGATGACCCCAAAGATAAAAGTCTAAGGGGGTCAGATCGGGAGACCTTGGGGGCCATTCAACTGGCCCACGACGACCAATCCACTTTCCAGGAAACTGTTCATCTAGGAATGCTCGGACCTGGCACCCATAATGTGGTGGTGCACCATCTTGCTGGAAAAACTCAGGGAACGTGCCAGCTTCAGTGCATAAAGAGGGAAACACATCATCATGTAGCAATTTCAAATATCCAGTGGCCTTGAGGTTTCCATTGATGAAGAATGGACCCACTATTGTTGTACCCCATATACCACACCAAACCATCACTTTTGTTGTTCCAACAGTCTTGGAGGGATCCATCCAATGTGGGTTAGTGTCAGACCAATAGCGGTGGTTTTGTTTGTTAACTTCACCATTCACATAAAAGTTTGCCTCATCACTGAACAAAATCTTCTGCGTGAACTGAGGGTCCTGTTCCAATTTTTGTTTTGCCCATTCTGCAAATTCTGTGCGCCGATCTGGGTCATCCTCGTTGAGATGCTGCAGTAGCTGGAGTTTGTAAGGGTGCCATTTGTGAGTAGCTAATATCTGCCAAAGGGATGTTTGTGCTATGCTGTGGGCTCTTGCTGAATGAAGCTAGGACAGCCACTGATGTTTCTTCATTAGTGACAGTTTTCTTGCCTCCACATTTTGGCAAATCCAACACTGAGAAATCTGCTGCAATGACCCGGTTACTGCATTCACCAGATATCAACACAATTTCGATCCGCTCCTCACGTGTTAACCTCTTCGACATGTCAATGGCTGTGAACAAAGAGAAACTTGTAAATAACTCATGAAAGAATAAAGTTACGTTGAAACCAAGCACACCATTGTTTTTCTTGTGACATTACCAATAAGTTTGATGTGTCACATGGCCCTCTTCCTATTGAAAAAACAAAAGTTGTATCCAAGATGGCCGACTTCTAAATGGCCACCATGGTCACCACCCATCTTGAGGAGTTTGCCCCCTCACATATACTAATGTGCCACAAACAGGACTTTAATATCACCAACCATTCCCATGTTATTACGGTGTATCCATATAAATGGCCCACCCTGTACAATAACTTTGCTTGTAGAGCAAAATGTAGTATTTTGGTCTAGACAACCCAAAATCGGGTGTCCACATATTTGGACGCCAGGTCCTAGGAGGTTAATGGATTTAAAGTTAAAAGGAACTAAACACTGGTATAATAAAATACCTATCCTGAGCTTCTGAAAACAGCAGACTGCGTAGTAAAAAAAAATTACTGCAATATGATATTTTGAAAGAAAGCCTTGAATTATACCCATGAGGCTTGATTAATTGACTGATAAAGTTCACATCAATTGTGGTGCTATTCAGAACCAAATTTATGAACATTGCGCCACTATGCAAATATTTTCAAATATACTGAGTGTACATTTCCCATCTGAGCAGGCCACAGTGTCGTATTGTTTTGGGCCGTAATTCATAGGAGCTCCAGATTTGTTTGCCCCATTGCAAGCCTTCCAGACGGTCAAAGTATTATCTCCCTAACAATCAGCAGATGTAATAACGTCATAGAAAGGCAGTTATGTGAATAATATGGTTCATTTTACAAGTTAAAAAAGAAAAGAAACAACGAATGATTTCATAGGAACCTAACTGCCAATAAAGTTGAAAAACAAATGCAATGAATAATCTGAATGTGAAAAAAACCCACAGGCATGGTGATTGTTTGACTGAGAACGAACATGTTGGTCTTGTCTAACCTGGGACAGGAAGGTGATGTGGTGGAGGACTTGAACTGGCTGAACTGGAAGATCGACTCAGAAGTTGATCTTCCCCTCATCCCCCCTTTTTGTATACAAAAAAGGAGATGAGGAATGGGGATGGAGATCCTTCAGTGCGTGCAGAAAAATGATGGATTTTCCATGAGCGTGTTACCTGCACTGGAGCTGGTGACACTGACAGACTTGATAAACTAATCAGGAAGGCGGGCTCTGTAATTGGCTGCAAACTCAACGCTTTTGAAGCTGTGCTGAAGAGGAAGTCACCATTAAGTAACCCTGACCACCCTGTACATTACATACGGGAAAGAAAGCGGAAAAGGTTGTATTTTAATATTTTTATATATATTTCTGCTATGACTTTAATGCACTTTTAATCAGAAATGTTCACTGCAGTATTTATTATCACCCAGGACATTGATCTTGTAATTATTTGTAGAGAAATAATATGCAAATAGACAATTAAGTTAACATGTTTGTAGCTTTTTATAAAGACTGGCTTATCAATTAATCTGCCTAAATCCCTGCTGGGGAGAAATTCTTTCCATTCTAGTCTTGCTAATAAACAAGCACATTCCTTCAAATGATTCAGTCCACGGACAAAACCTGTGGTTATCTGTCTCCGTAGCAACATGTGGCAAGAGTGGGGATGGGAAGCCTGAAAGCACACTTCTGTCTGTTTGCAACATAACTAAACTCAACTAAACAGTCATTTTGGATGTTTGTTTCTAGTTCCTGAAACATTTCTAAGCATTTCTGTAACAACATATGAAGTGTTTCCCTTCTGACAGAAAGTCTGCATTAGCAGGTAGGTGTGAAAGAGCAGCGGTGGTGCAAACAAACTCTGTTTCTGACTGTGAGACTGGAGATTGTGTCTGGAAACGCTTTTAACTTTTGTCTTTATTCACTGTTTACTTTTTGTCTTAACTTCGGCCGCTGCAACTTCTTGGTCAGGGTTGGGAAAAGATGGCGAGTTGGTTTAGAAAAAGGCTCTTTCACAACGTTAAACAGATGTCAGAGCACTCCATCTTGTTGGTTAACAGGATGCCGAGTTCCACATCATATAAGCAGACAATTTACTTTCGCTTTATTGCATTCATGCAACCACTGCAGGTGGTGTAACTTAAATGTAACTGTTTTATAAAAGCTCACACAAACAATTTATGTGATTGTTTTCCAGGGGAATGACAAACTTTGCAAGGCCAGCAGGTGGTTAGCCATAGGGAAGAAGTGAAAGAAGATGTCACGTTAGCACACCGTCTTTTTTTTATTGCACATTAGGCATGTTCAGATGCTCATGGATATTGTCATATAAGCGCTTTAATTAAGTGGAATTAATGCTGCTAAATGATTGCACTACACGCACTACAAAAGCTATCAAAGTGAACTGTTGAAAAGCTACAGAGAAAAGGTTAAAGAGGTAATATGGACTTGGTCACATCTTAGCTGATAAACAGTATTAAACCTTGATATTGGGATTAATTGGGATTTGATCTAAATCTTGAAAACATATTTTTGGAAAATTCACAAAGTAAATGAGCCTGCAAAACACACTCACAGGTCACTTTATTAGATATGGCTGTTTAACCGGTTGTTAACTCAAATGTCACATCACACGCAAGCAATGCAATATATTTAGGCATGTATACATGCACAAGTAAAGTCACTGGAATGAGGAAGAAATGCAATTTAGGTGACTTTCGACATATAGATCATAATCTGCTGATTGGCTGGGATTTCCCTGTGCAACCATGTCAAGGATTTGCAGAGAAATTGAGTTAGAGTCCTCTGGATGAAAATACTTTGTTGATGTCATAGGAGCTCATAGGAAAGCAAATAGCCATGCATTTACAACCAAAGTTTGCAGAAGAGCATCTCTGAATAAACACCGCATCAAACCTTGAAGCAGATGGGCAGCAGAAGACTACAGCAGGTGCCACTCCTGTAAAGAACAGGGAACTGAGGCTGCAGTTCTTGCAGCTTCACAAAAACTCAACAACAGAAGATTGCAATAAACATTGCATGCTCTTAGTTTGTGATGTGACATTCAGTTGGTAGGGACAGAATTGAGAGTAAACAACACTGACAACAAACATTGATCCATCCTGTCTTGTACCAACGATTCAGGCTTGTGCTAGTATAATGATGCATGTTGCTATGGAGCAGTCTACCTGAGTATTGCTGCTGACCATGTCCATTCCTTTATAATCTCAAGCCAATAGATCATGGATGTGCAACTGACAAATCTGCAACAAGTGTGTGATGCTGTCATGCCTCCAGCACCTTGTTCTGAATGCAAAATAAGTACAAACCAATAATAGCCCTTTCAAGCCTGAAGCATGAAATAATTGCCAGAAAATTCTTGTGTTTTTATTGAACCTCCTGACAAAAAAACAAACAAATGTAGACATATGAGTTTACATTTTTATCATATTATCTGTATCAGGCTTTTTGCTTTGCAAATTCTTACTTACAAATGCATTGTGGAATTTATTTGGAGGTTTGTTTTTTTTTGGGGGGGGGGATCACACTGATGATGTAGCATCTTAAAAACTCAGAAAACTCATGTAGCAAAAACTATA